ACTGGCAACTTTCTAGTACAACTTTAGTAAGTACATGCGCCAAGCAGACCCTCACGCCTTATATCTGTCTCGCCTGCCTCTTCCCCATGCTCACTCTTCCGCACTTTACCCCTGCAGCCTCAATCTTTCGAAGTTGTTCACATGTGGGGTTATCCGGTCCTATAATCAAACAAGTTTTTTTGTTCCGTATATTTGATGTCACCACCGCACCCCCAGCGGGCAAAGTAGCACCACTATGCACCACCCACCGAGCAATCTCATCGTTGTCCGTCGAGGCGCTGCAGCGGTGCCGGCGCTGGAGCTTTGCGAGGCCTTGCTGGTGCTGAAGACCTGTGGGAGGCGCAGGGCTGGTCCTTTGAACCCGCGACTGTTGAGAAAAGCGGGCTGGGTCCTGGTTTGTCGGGACGTTTCGGGTTTCAGCAGGGTTTGATTTTTCAATTTGGAGGAGTTTACATGATGTCTTTCTCATGCTTTCTGAAAGTCTTTCCGGGTCCCCAAGCTCGATTCGCTGCTGTTGGTTCTCTATCAGTTCTGAACGGAAGTGTGATCTCCCAGCTAGTGATTTCTACAGTAAGCTGTTTTTTGCCACTAGTTTCGTCGTTCGGTTTCCTGAAAGAACCTCGCATACCAACTCTTGTTGGAAGACTACGTTTGGGGCAGGTTGACTCCGGAGCAGCCCTTCGTCTTCGACTTCGTCCGCTTGGCCGCCAACAACGTCGACCGCCTGAAGCGCGGTGAGCGGCGTGTGCTCCGAACTCTGCCGTGGCCTCGGTGACCAGCAGCGGAAGGAGGTGGAGATGGCTGACGCTGAGTTTAGTCGCGACAGTTCAACAAAACACTTCACTACTACATATAGGCTTTACTCGGACCCCGATGGCGGTCCGATGGATATTTTTTTGCCAGATCAGCGGTAGTTTTGACGGGGTTGCAGGGTGAAGCAAAGCATGTTTATTGCCGAGCTACATGAATTCTTGAACCTATATGTTTATAACCAAGTGGTTTTGTGGACGATTGTCGGGTATGATTGTGGATATCAGGCGAGAATGATCAGCCAACGGAGGATAGAAATCGATGTGGTTTACAATCAAACATGGTTCCACCATTAGGATCTCACGGAGGATGACAAACATTCTGCAAGGACCCAAGTGGCTGAGGTGAGCGATGGCCAACACTCGGTTGATGTCCATGGCTGCCATGCTACGGCCAACACTAGTCGGTTGAGGTAGAACTGTCGATCCTCACAGACTTACAGGTGTTTTATCTCAATCAGTTTCCTGCCTTTGACAAGATTTGTCATGGGGTATAACGGCAATTGTTACAGTATTGTGTGTGTTCACACAAGAAGTGTCAACCTCACGCACCTGAGGTTGGAGCATTTGGCGCAACACTTGGGCTTTGAACCCGGCCCGGACTCCGAAAAGCATCGTGCTAAGAAGGGTGAACCAGTACCTGGAAACCTTAATTTTTTTGGTTGTTTCGCAAAAGGAGTCAGTTCTGATAGTTCTGATCTACAGTTCTTTTGGGTGTCTAGATTCTAGGAAAAGGGCCATCATGCCCTGAAGGACACCCTAGTGTATTTGTACTTACTTGTACAAGCATGTATCCTTTGAACACGACAAACAGGAACACACATTACCGTTGACGGGTTGCCATTTTGGGGCAACCAGTGGAAGACTGTAAGGTGGGACCACCACACCTGCTGGATTTTTTTGGGGCGCTGGATGACCATTCTATCAGAAACAGGACGTTTCATTGACCAGAAGGGACAAACGCCATGCACAGAACCTTCGATTTCCCCATTGAATGAACCTCCCGATCTTTGACCAAGACCCGGGGTGCCGTTCTCCTCCTCGTTCGTCCTGCGACCGATGCAGAAGCACGGTCCTTCTCGGTTGGCCATCTCCGTCGGCCATCGGCCAGGTGTGTCGTGGGTCGACTTGGCGCAGGCGCGGTACGTTCGCCGGTCCGGTTCGGACGATGCCGGTCCGGTTCTGGTGGCGTCAGCATCATCACTTGGTGGGGGCGGTTTCACCATGCCCACCGAGTCCTTCCCAAGGGTTGAGCTCAATGACTCAAAAAGGGCACAGGTGGTTTGGAGTCCAGAATCCCTAGTAGGAATGTATAAAGACAATGAAGGTTCAGAATTCAGATCATGTTTGAACCACTCGTGAGTCACACATTGATTGCTGGATGTTCATACAGTTGACGGACAACATTTTACCACCTGTAGGAACTTGGCAGTTGCAGAAGAAAAGTCCCATGGAGAGGACTTACCTATGAGAAATGGTCGGTATTCGGCCGCTTGTCCATCAACAGTAACAGTAGCAACCCTAGAGAATAGGAAAAAGGAACGCTGGAAAACCAGGGGTCGGTCCTGCTCCTTTTTGCCTGTTACGCCACTCCCCCAAACCGATGGTCTCAGACAGACACGATCCGACACCCAATGCCACTGACATCGGACGTGACGAGGCGCCTGCGCCACAGCACGCGCCGGGCTCACCGGAAGCGTCCATTTGCATGCTGGCCAGGCACAGCATGAACGTGGGATGGGTTGGTGGAGCGTTTTACACGTGTGTGTGGCCGCTGCAGACGGACAAGGGTAGGACGTCAATCAAAATGCGGGCCCAAGGGGTTTGCAGACCCAAATCCCCTACCACGCCACTTTGGCCATTGATCACCCAAGGGGTTTGCAAACCGAAGTAACAGAAACCATGGCCACCTCACCCTCACCCACCCCTGTGAGGGTGGCCTTTCAGCACCACGGCGACGTTGGTCTTTCCTTCCTTCGGCGTGGCGCCAGGCATGACTGGTTTTCGCGAAAGAGTCGCGCGCACACGTCCTGGTCCGAGACGCCCAGAGCCGTGGAAAGGATTGACTTGGAGGGGAAAGGATCGACCGTGTGCAAAGCACCGTAGATCTATCCTAAATCTCCTTGCCATGGAGGTCAAAGTTTATCCAAATACATCCAATAATTCCTGCATCACACCCAAAGGTACCGTGGGTCGACTGGTGCCCAACCGCCCCAAAAACAGGGTCTCTGTGAATGCAGGGATTGAACAACGATTGAACTCCCGCAGCTGTCATGGAATGGAGTTGGAACACACCGATGGAACACCCGCAACATACCGATGGTGCCAGCGGCGTACGCGCGCGGCGATGGTGTTGCCTTCCGATCCGGACGGCGGTCACCAACTGTTGAAGACGAGACATTCTGCATATCATTGAGGGCCATGCACCGATTCAACCAAAAGAAAAATAAAAGAAGAAACCCATCAAACCTAAAGGGTGTCAAGCGCTGCGGAGCCTATATATGGGAGCCGGCCTCTTTACTTTTGCTTTGACGGCGGCTCCTTTTAAACCGCTTGTTTCGGGGAAAACTTCGGCTCGGCCGTCCTTCGACATTGACGCGCATGTGCCGGTCAGTCATTGACACGTTAGCTGAATCGCTTCGCGTGTGTCACCGGGGCTGTGGGAAGAACACCCCCTCGATGTGATGTGTTGGGGGTGCCTCTCTTCGCACGTCTTCTCTCTGCCGGCGCCGTCGCACGGGCCGAGGTTCCGCCAGCGGGGCCATTTGCGGTGAGACGCCTCGCCCGCGGGCGGACGCGACCACCGAGGCAGGCGAAGACGTGGTGGACGTGGTCGTGGTCGTGGTCGGACCGGGTGACACCGTTGGCGTCGCGAAGAAGGATGCATGAAGGGAAGTGCATCATCCTGAAGAACATGGCAGAAGGGGTCATGAGGATGATGCACTTCCCTTCAGGATGTTTAATTTCATCAGTGGTCATGAGCAGCTGCTTAGCAGATGAGATATGTGAATATAGAAGCCTGGGTTGAATGGATTCGTTTCTGACATGTTCTTTGATCGACAGGTTGAAGTCATTCTCGCTTGAACCACCACGCACCGGCCAGCCATATTGGCTTTGCTGCTGTGCGGAGGACATAGAACATCTATGAAGGCTTCTCAAACAGACTGACATGGACTCGGAACAGATTCCCTAACTTTTTGGAAGCAAGGAGTCACGTAGCCTTTCTCTGAAGACTGGAGAAGGCAGAACCGCAGAATCAGCAAGCATTGATTTTTTAAGGCAGGCGCTTGCAATCTTTCAGTGTCTTTCCGCCATATTGCATGCCAGCAGATACTTTAGCACAATTCAACGCCCACGGACGCAAGGTTTTGAAGATTACAGATTCCCAGATCGTGGAACTGGCTTCAGAACGATACAACGGTGCCGACAAACCAACCAAGAACCTGATACAAAGCCCACACCCGCCGCGACTCCGCTGTGCATCGAATTTCGCCCTACACCATGCCGAGTGCCAGAAGCGACTGGTGGATCAACTCGCTGCTGCTGTTGAGCTCATGTTTGGTCGTCGCCACGGCGCCTGGGCCGAGCAAGCGGCAGCAATGTTCCCCTACGGGATCCGGTCATGAGGTCAAGGACCAGGTTAAACTTGGCCTTTGGACTTCTTTTGCTTTCCGTGGATGTTGGTTCAACAGTTCCATCACAGCTTTGATGTCCTCTACTTTTTTTGGGGGGAGACACCTTGCCCACCGCACCGCCCACCGGCGCGTGCCGCCCTGTCCGGTGTGGTCCGGCCGAGGCCGAAGGGCTGGAGTGGCGGAACTGCGGCTTGGAGCTGAGCCACGCGCCCGCCTGCGCGCCCGTGCGCGATGCCGAGGCACGCGCAGCATCGGTGGGCGATGGGGGCGCTGCATGGGCGGGTGTTTGGCGGCGGCAGATGCCGGGCGCGACGCAAAGCATCGTTCATTGTTCGTGTGGATGGGTCATGGGTCACGGGTCATGGGAAGTCTCCAGAATCAATGTGGATCGGAAAAGGTCTCCAGAATCATCCCCAAGATGCCAATGTCACAGGACCCTATGTCACGACCTTGTGATCACCATGGTCCTTCTCCCTGGTCCTTCTCGGATGTGCGGCATGTGTTTTCCCCCTCTTGACTGCCACCTTCAACGCAACAGGACGGTGTTTTCACGGCTCGTTCGACAGCCGTGAAGGCGTTCCCAGGGTCGACTGGGGTGCCCGGGGGTGCCCAGTCTGACCGCTCAGGTGCCGAAGGCTGGCCTGGTGGGCTTCGTCTTTGGAAGCCTGGCAGCGTCGGCGCCTGGGGCGACGAAAGGTTTGGAAGATCCGGGGGGGCCCGGAGATGGTGAAGCGGAGATGGTGGGCTGTTGGAGGTCTATGTCATCTATGTCATGTTCAAAGAGTGTATACCAGGAGCCTCCGTTTGGGGTGTCCATGGTTTTCGCCCCTTAGCTCTGATTTGGGGTGTCCATTCACCACCCCGACTGGGGGTCCTGGTATACACTGAATCACAGAGCTTTCACGTGCTCTTATACGGGAGCGGAATGGAGGGGATGATACTACCTGGCGCTGATGACCTCTACAAGAGTCCAACATGTCGCACGATGTCAGCGACGTTTTCTGCTGGGTGTTTTGGAGAACTTGTGGAGCTGTTTGTTTTGCCGGCCTTGCCGTTAAAGCAAACACATCGCAGCTTAACTTAGCCAGAAGTTTGACTCCTCAAATGCTCAGACAGCCTCAATAACTGTTGTGGGAATACTTCAAGAAGAACAACTGCCAGTCAAATGAGAGAGCTTGTCACTGTGGCCAATCGGTTCCAGTCGGTTGTTGGTCCATGAGATGTGCAACCAATTGAGCGGCAGTCCAGAGCAACCAACAGTGGCATTAATTCTTTCCAGCATCGCCGAATAAATACCGCATCCCTTGCCTGGCCAAATAGAGATGGCAGTGGACCCCTGCTCATTCCCATCCACAAGTCACACACTGAGCACTTCTCCCCGCGCATTCCAAAAAAAAAACAACTCTGATATTATGACATCCTAAAGTACCTTCGACAATGGGACGGGACCCTATAAAAACACGTGCATCATGAAACTTCTACGATTTTGCAATACTGTGTACCCATTTTCCAAGGTACTTTGAGACCCCGGGATGATGTGATACTTGACCTTTGTGGAAAGACCGGGTGGTCATATACCACTGGTGGACGGGGTGGTCAGAGAGCACCGCTGTCCTTCCGAGCTCCGCCGCGCTCCCCCCGAGGCGGTGTACTGGATCCAGAAGCAGCGCGAGAAGCGCATGCAGCCTAGCAAGGCCTCTCACCCGTTCTTTGGCATGAACGTGGTGGGCTGGACAGGTTGGGCTTGCCGGTTGGATGGGCGGTTGGGTTGCATGTTCAAGCTGTAGGTTGGTTGGTGGTTTGGGTGTAGATCCGTGTGGATGGTGGGTGTTCGGTATGACTTGTTCTTTGTTCATTATCAAGAACGACCTTCCAACACTTCAGGAGGCTCCACTCTCATGAAGATCCAAATTCACCATGTGGAAAAGGAGTGTGAGTGGAGCCCCCCATCCATTTGGGACAGTTTGGTGTCCTTCCCATGACTGGATGGTGCTTTTTTGGGTGAAAAACACGTGTCCACTCGGCTTGGAGCTCCAAACCGGAGCATAAACACGTTGGAGCCTGCAGACGGGCGACATGACGCTTGGGAGGAAGAGGATAGATGAATATAGATGACAGCTTTCTGCAGAAACGGAGGGACATGTCCACATCGCATATTTATGCAATGCGCTGTATTAACTTGTTCATGATTGTTCTTGTGGAAACAAGTGAAAGCAGGATACTTGCTCAAACTTATGAGGGTCCCAGAACAATTGTTGGCAAAGATCCTCCATCCCAGCTATAGAATTCCAACATACGTTTCAAGTTTCAAGGGACCTTCGTTGAGTGACTCTGGTTTTTGGCAGGGGGTCGCACTTTTTCACGCCCATGTAACATGTAACATGGGCGACTCCTGCTCTCCGCGGCGCGGTCTCCGTCGCACCGAGGCGCGAGTGGGCGGTGTGGACCCGGCTCGATAGGCGGAGGGACGGGAGGAAAACGGCAGGGAGGGACGGGGCGGCGCGGTCACATGGGGGGCGGACTTCAACCGGGGACTTGTTGAAGGAAGCCAGGTCACGCAGGTCGATCTATCATGTCCCGTCCCACCCCAACGGGTCCCTGTTTCGGGCTATTGGATTCTGGCTGATGACTGGTGACTGCCTGAGACACCTCGAAGTTCTCGTAAGGGACCATGAGGATTGAAGGACGTGAGGTTTTTTCACGAACAACGACCCCCCATGTTGTTGGAACACCCTTGGTTGCAGTGCATCCAAAAGATATCGATGACTAACTGACTAACTTACCTAACCTCTCTCCGCCTCTCTCCGCTTTGAAAAGGACTCTGAGAACCATTCGATGTCTTCTCAACATGGATCACCCATGAGAGGTGGAACGTTCTCGCTTCAGATCTGGCCGCGAGACACCGTGGGAAACCGAAACTCAAACCGGGCCGTCGGTGGCTCCGGGCGTCGGTGGGAACCGTCGGTGGCAGCAAGTCGCCATGCTATCTCTTGACCATCCACTCCAACCAGGTTTCTAGCTCAGAACGATCTTGGACGACCAATCTTGACTGGGTTTGGTGACCAACACCTAATACTATTTGTGTGTACTAGTAGCACTCAAGGTCCGCTCTTCACTTCCAGCTTCTCCCAAGCCCTTTGTTGTGCTGCAAGCGCAACAAACAAATCCCTTCTTTCTTTCTACGAAAAGTTCAACTCGAGATGGAAAGAAGGGAGACCCACGTGCGCAGGATGAGACCCACGTGCGCCCCTCGTGAAGGAATCCTTGTCGCTCCTTGTCGCTGCCAGAATCTCCCGTGAGGGGCCATGTTGCTTCATCCCAGAGGAGGGACAGTACCGGCAGCGCGGTCTCGGCGCCAGGAAGCGAAGGGGCTATGTGACCCGGAAGGACATCCGGCCCGGTGTGCCCAGGACTTGGGACCACCCAAGAGTTCGCGGCAAGCAGAGGGGCAGTTCATCGAACTTCGATTCGGGCCGCGTGCCCGGGTTCCCTCCCCCCAAAAACTCCGTCTATGTCGTGTACTCGTAGCACCCGACGATTCTAGGCTATAGTGATCAGGCTATATTATGTATATATCACATGTGATCACAGTTTTCAGTTCTCGGAGATCACAAACACACAAAACTCCTAAACTCGAACCACGGACGAACAGATTTCACCGCTTTCACCGCCCTGCCAATCGGAACATCTCTCCCTTCCCCCTTTTCAGCCGCTTCTTCTCAGCCGTCGGACGCCGCGAGGTCCTTGTGCTATCGCTTCGAGTCGGACGAGCACGCCGAGCACCTCGCGCAGCTGCTGGAGCGGCCCGCGAGACGGAGTCGAACTGGGGAGTCGAACGAGACAGGCGCCTGGCGTCAAAGGCTCAGGCGTTTCCACAGACAGGCGTTGAAAGGAGCAGGCGTTGGCGTCCATGTTTGGGCGTCCATTCTGTGGGCTTCCAGTGCTATGTACAAGATGACTCAGGATGACTCGTCCATGAAGCACATGAAATTATAGATCATATAGGAGATCATGATAGATCATGTATGGTAACCATGAAACACATGTAGATCTATATGTTTGATGGGTAAAATTCCAGGACTCTCCGTCTCTCAGTCCGTCTCTCCACATCGAGCAGTTCATCGACACATCGATGATCATTGGTGTCGAGTCGGTTTTACCGAACTCGGAGAACTGAAGCTCCCCCAGCACCTTATATGTAAAACAGGTGTTTTTATAACAACTATAACAAAGATAAGTCCTTAAGAAGGAGGTTGATTGGTTCAAATTTGTTCTTTTCCCTAGTTTTGCTTGACTGTATATAGTAGCTGCTGGTCTGCCAGTATCAGGTTCAGTTCAGAGCGGCCAAGTGACCTAGCCACAAAGGTCCCTATAGCTCAGCGCATACCCCGCGCGCGCCAGCGCTGCCTCCGCGCATGCCACATCTATACCGCGAACCCGGGTGTGTGTATACTATTATACCTCGGTGGCATGGAGGATCCCTATGGCATGGACTACATCACCTTTCGGACCTTCATCCGACACTTTAAGGCCACCCGGCTAGCCGGGAGCCGTCCGTCCGTCCGTCGCTTTCAGTCCGATGGCTTTGGCTGCTTTGGGTTTGTGGCTTGGTCCTGGGGCCAATGACCAAATTCTTTTGGGCCAACTTCAGAGGCCCAGAAAGTTCTATCCCAGTGCACTGAAAGTCCAATCCCATCATTTCCCAGGTGAGAACATCAACATGTTGTAAACCCACCTGTTTAGTCACCTGTTTTGTTTATGGGGGTGTTGAGACCCCTCTTCCAGCGACTTTCAGGTGATGCTGGATTCCGAGTGTACAACCTGGATGTAAACGGCCCGACGACTCTCTAAGTCACTAACATGAAGAAAAAACCACCAGTTTCAAGAGGAACATGGTCATCCGATGGGGCCGTATCCACTTCCATGATTGTTCCAGGGAGTGTATAAGCTTTGCCACAGGATCTGGTCTTCCTTTGCCTGCCTCGACGCGTCTTGCCTTGCCCCTTGCCTTCACGCGAGGCCGTGCAGATGATGCGCCAAGCGGCACGGCTGAAGCTTTGGCACCGCTGCTGCGGTTGGCACGCCCAGCGACCGATCGGGGCCGGGGCATATCGGAACCGACCGATCGGGGAGTCTCCACCCCTCGAAGAGAGACCGCTGGTCTCACGGACGCGACCGCCGGTCTGACGCGACCTCACGAGTGGATCCCAGGCAGCCACTGTTCTTGCAGGAACCACTTGTGTCCTTTCCTTCGGTCTATGGTTTGAGTCGTTGCCTGGAATATCTGGTTGCATCGTGGGTTGCCTGCCTGGATGCCCTGGGAGACTCAAAATGAAGACCGACATCTTGGGTTCCATGTTCAGGCCGTTCTACCACCTGCTTCGTTGAGGGGTCATAGGGTCATAGTATGTCAGACGTGACTTTGGCTCAACTAAGGCCATCCAGTGTTGGAGATGTAGATTTTGGATAACAAATCTGGTTTTGGCTCGCCCTGCGACTGAAGTTCTTGAAGGCCTTCCTGCCTTGATTGTTGTGAACCGCTTGTCACTCTGGCTTTGCTACGATCTTGTTCCCGACGCAAAGGTTCCCAGATTCCCAGCTGACAGGATGCCAAAATTCCCCAAGTGTTGGATGATCTCTGCACGTTGGCTGGATTCCGCTGGACGGGCCACAAAAGGACAGTTGGTCCAATCACAGTGCTCGTAGTTGGTGCATGTTATTGGGGTAACATCCGTTTCATGGTGCCTACAGCCTATAATAACGAATCGGTTAACCTTTTGATCTTGCCCAAGGCGGAGGGATTGTGTGAGACATATTCAGCATTGCGGATGATGCGCTTTGCAGTCATCGCCCTCGAATCAAATGGTCAAACGGGTTGCAATAGACACCTGTATAGTACTTGTTTTATAAGTTCTAAGCTCCTTTCTCGTTTTGCCCCGTCCGTCTCACCAGTCCTTCCCAGGCATCGGCGTGGCGGGCAACGTGGCAGGTGCGATCGTGGGGAGGAACGGGTGGAGGGAAATAGATCACCGGTGGCGCGACGTGGGAGACGCTTTGGGGGGATCCCGTGAAAGGGACGACTCGGTCGCAAGAAAGTGGGACTGGGGGTGGCACCCCCAGGGTCGGGTCCAGTCATATACGAACCGCTTCGGAGCTAGCGAAAACGGAGCCCACAAACGGGTAAAGCTTCTTTTCACCAGTTCCCGGAGCCTCTCTTCGTTCCAGAACCGGACTGTTCGGACCCCGCGAAATGAACCACGTCCGAGCGGCGAGCGGGTGAGCCGAGCCGGTGTCTTTCCGTGACGACCCGTCGGTGTCGCGGACGTCCAGAGGTCCTTCCAAATGGGCATTAGTACATTCTGGGAATTGGCCCAAGCGTGGTGGTTGCGACCTTTGGAAGTTCCAATTCTAAGAGCGTTGGGAGCTTTTCACTTCTCCACCGAGTCAAACAGCGCAGTGCGGTCCAGACAGGAGAGGACCGACCCCCTCCGTGCTTTGGAAAACACCGGCCCCAGGGCATATGGCACAGGCCGGCGAAGCCGGCCAGGACGGGAAGATGGACCGGAACAGGCACTGGAAACCTCCAATGGCATGGACTTATGACGTATTCCATACATGGAGTGGGTTTTGTTTCGGTGGGCCGCAGAGAAGGATATATATATATATATATATATAGGGTTGGTCCCTATATGGTTTACGGTTTCTCCATGTTTGGGATCACTAGCATCCTCCCGAGGGTAGGTAGCGTCTCATGATCCAAATTCCCCTCCTGGGGATCGGTTGTCGGCGGTGGTATTTGTGATTGGGGAAGCCTCCAAGAATGATGGACCAAAGGTTGGATCACGTTCCAGAGGGGTGCTGGAAGGAGTTCGTTTCTTTTCCATTCCTTTCGTCTCGCGTTGATGGTGGAGCGTTGGAGTCGCATTAGGAGCACACGGATTGGATGTCATGGCCGACGTGTTTCTTTTTGGAGTCTCCGTGGACAAAAGAAGTGTCATGCTAGTTTGGATAGAGGATGGTAGAGGTAGAGGTAGAGTCACCTGTAGAGCTTCTGGTCAGGAGAGCCACTCTGCTCAGAAGCCAGCAGCCATTTTCGTCTACTACATGTGCCTTGGATCCCACTGGAGGGGGGGGAGGATTTTGTGCGGCTTGGTCACCAGAATCGAGTGGGCTAACGGTCCTGGTGCCACTGACCCCCTGCTTTCGGGCATTTTGGCGCACCAGGATCGCCAGAAATGACTCCGCCGATGAACCTCCGCCGACCCGAATCTCGGGCCCTGACGCATCACAAGAACTCCCTCCCTCGCCGCTCGGCTCACGCCGCTCGAGCGCTCGAGCGCTACGCCGAGCGCACGAAGGCCTCCACATCCGTACACCGTGAGCGACTTCCAGGCGGACCTCCGCGACTGGAGCCCGGTGGAGGGAACGGGGGACCGGTGGGACCAGTGGGACCGGTGTCTTCACGCGTAAGACGAAGGGAAGGTGAGGAAGGGAGGCGGTGTTTTGGGTGGATGGGACGATGTTTTGGTGTTCCGCTGCTGCACTCGTGCCATGGAGTCGGCGGGCGGAAAGAGGCATTTCTTTGGGAAGAAGAGAAGCCAATGGGGTGAAGACCAAGGTTCCCTGGTTGGTGGGAAGTGTTCAGGGGCGTTCAGGGCATGTGTGCTTTTTTCCATTTTGCCAGTGACCCACGCATGTTGGGAGCGTGGTTTTCTGATGATCCCCAGGTAGCTCACTGCATCTCACTGCCATCGCAAAGCATCCTTTTTTTCGTAGAACTGAAGGTTTCTTTAGGAATACCATTGCAGCAGGGTCCATGACTCAATGACTCTGCGTGGTCTCATGACTGAGCATGAAGGTCGAGCATACCATTGTCGGCTTGGCACAGTAGATGGGGTAGATGCCTCAGAGTTTGGTAGAATCTGGGTGAAACTCTGTAAAGACTTCACAGTGGAAAGGAGTTTGGATTGCCCTCAAAAGCAACACTTCCACCAAAAGCACCCAAACGTCAAACTTCCAAAGATGTCATCCCCCAGGTCTTCCAGGTCCCCAACCGATCTTCTGTGGTCTATTCAATGATGTCGACTTTGGGGAGGTCTATTCAACTTCGTTTCCTGATACCATCATGGTGTACGTGAAGTGAGTGTGTGAACACCACCCGTTGGGTCCAACCGGAATGAGGCGGATCATGCCCTCTGCCCCTCCAACCGAGCTGCAGGGCCAGGCCACCAGGCCTCCTTTAAAACACCGTTTCCTTTAAAACATGATCCTTTACTAGCAGTAACAAGAAGCTACTAGGTTGGAGGCCATCGCTACTAGCAGCAATAGTAAGTTACGTTTCCTTAAACATCCTGGACCTCTTTCAACTAGGTCACTGGATCACGTCCCACCTCCTCCTCCGCGCCCTACCGATAGGGGCCGAACGACCCACCGAGGCCCCGTTGGCCGACCTGCTCCGTTGGCCAGGCTGACAAGCGTCGCTTGGAGGAGTTCCCGGTGACCTATGCCGGGGAGCCAAGTCTGCAGCAGCCGCAACGAGCCGAAACGGATGGGCGAAAGCAACGAGCTCGGTGGAGGCCACGGATCACACCTGAGATCGATTGAGGATGCGATTGAGGATGGATCTATAGCGATCGAAGGTTGGTTGATGATTTGACAAACCCGTACCTCCACCCCACCTTCCATACCCCCGCACCTCAACCAGTGATGATTTTATGGATCCCACTTCGCATGCCTCGCGTTGCCTCGCGTGGCCTTCGTGCACAGGCGGTGATCGATTATCCCAAGCTCCCTGGCGCCTGCAAGGCGTCTGGGCCGTTCAACACGCGTGTGCGCTCGCGCGCGTGCGGCCTCGCGGCGACGGGTGATTCGGAACGTGGCCAAACACCAAGGAGAACGTTCATCGAGGCTTCGCCGAATCTTTCAGCGGAAAAGGACAAAAATGGGCACGACAAGCCCCTGTTGGGAATTTGGAAGTTGTGCATGATAGTGGATACTTCGAAACGACATCAGAGAAGTTCACCCATTATTGCGGCATGGCCTGGCATGGCTATTGATGGATAAACATCTTTCATTTTTGGCGGGGCGAGCGGTAGCAACACCTGACTTCATGAATTCATGGAAAAGCGGTAAGCTGAAGATCCAAAGATATGCCTTCGGACTTGTGAACGGCCAAGTCCTGTACCCAAACCACGCGCAGACAAGAAACCCTGCATAGCGGGAAAGATGTTTCAATTGCAAAGTTGCTCTTTATATCAGACAAACCAGCCAACTCTGCATTCTTCGCAAGTGTGGCCTCGGAAAACGAAGAAACTCTCATATAGAAAAACCAGGCACCTTCCGTATTCTCCGCCTCCACTCATACCCCCCCCAACCTCCCCCGGACCGTCAACGGACCGTGCCGACCCCCTTCTTTGGAGCTCGCACGGTCCTCGCACGGTCCAGGTGCAGGTGGAGCCGGAGCTGGGCCTCTTGGTGGATATCGTCTACTCCAAGGAGCGGCCGGATCCGATGAAGTGGAGGTGGAGAATACGGTGGACGGGTGGAGTGGGGGGGTGAGGTGGTGGAAGAGGATCTTCGTTGGGTCTTCTTTTTTCAGTTTGATGATGCTTGAGTAGTAGCACGGTTTAGTTTGACTTTTAGCTGTTGTGTGATTCTTTTTGTGTGTGATCCGGTTTCTATAGGCATTTGAAGAAGTTTCCGTTCATAAAATCTTAAAGATAAACAGATGTAGCATCCGAAGTCAACTCACAACGCAAACCCCCCACAAGGTACATATATGACTTTGTCTGTAGAAGTGCTCTTCTTCGTTTAATAACTGCGCCCGCATTGACATGACTGGCACTGCCGAGTGCTCACCGACCGCAGGACCGGAGCAAAGTGGACCACCTGGTGCCCAGGCGACCGACGGTCTGATTCTGTCGGGAGCAAGCGGGTTTAGCGGCAGGTGCGGGGTGAGGTGCGGGTTGGATGTCTACTGGCCTTGCGAAATTCAGATGATCGGCATGAAGACCATATTTGATCAGAATGGCCGATCGGTGCACACGGTTGCTCCATAGGAATCTTCTAGTACGCTTGGCTCTCGTGAAACACGGTGTTCCTTACGTCCACCGATGTTGCGACAGTGGGTAGGATCGCGACGGCTGATCACCACGGTCTTGTGAGTCGGTATGTAGTGAGTCCATGACCTGGAGTACCTTTTGCTTTTGTTTAAACCAGTGAAGCTACTGGGCGACCATAAGGCTGTAGCACAGTGCAACGTATTTTTTCTTTAAAATGAAACTCATGGGTTGTCGGATGCTTTGTTCATTGATGTTCCTTGCCTTTCTTCCTTGGAATCCTTGGTGTGTTCGCATCACAAAGGCGACTTCTGTACACCACAACCCGTTGGTTCGCCTCGGAGCACCGGCATCGCTTGGGTTCCGCCGACGACGTCCGACGGTGCGAACGGTGCGACGTAGACCGTCGGGTGCGCGATAGGATGGACCAAACGATGACACTCTTTAACCTCTATGTCCGTTCGTTTGGGGAAGGCGGCAGGTTATTTTCGTTGCTTTGTCCAGGCGCTGTTCCGTTTCTTTTGGGCACATCCAACTCGGTCAATTGGTTCAACAATGTTCAACATGTATAGGTTCGACCAGGTCGCCAGTTGACTTGGAGTTTTCCACCCAAAGACCGTTTGGAGGTTCTTTTTGGTGCTGTTTGGATCATAGTCACAGGCGTTTCGCCATTGGCTGTATTAAGAAAAGTAATGCTGTTTTGGATGAATATTCGCCTGCAGGCGCGTGGCTGCCTTCAATGCTTCTTCACTGCACCAAATAAGCTGGCGGTACGCGGTAAGGGATGGCGGTGTGGGGAGGGGAGAGAGCACCAAAACGGGGCAGGTTCAGAAGGCTCCACACAAGAGCAAGATGGGCCAAAAGCAACACCAACAATCACTAGTCATATGTTCTTCAAATGTCTTCCAATGATGTTGTGGAAGTTTGGTTCCAATTGTTCCGATGTTTTTTAAACCCTGGTGAAGAAGCTCCCGCCTTTCCCGACGCCCGGTGCAAACTCGCGGCGAGGCCTCAGCTAACGCGGTTGTACGAGAATCGGTGATCGGTTGGGGAGGACTGCTCGAAGCTGAGGACTGCTCGATCCGAAGCTTGGAGGGAGCCAACAAGCTGAGACTTGAGCTAGGAGGGTTGGGTTCTGGGTTTCGGATGGCCTTGAGATGGGTTTTGGGGATGGGTAGTTTCTTTTTTTTCCAGCGGTTGACCCCGCAACATTGATGCAGCCAAGCATTGATCCGGTGACCAGAGTTCTAGAACAAGAGTCTGAGAAGAAGAATCTAACTCATCGATTATGTCTACAGAAGACATGTAGGAAGGCGTACGCCTTTGTGATATACTTACATATGTCTAACATACCACAAAGGTATCTTCTATAACAATCTAACATACCACAAAGGACACATATTGTCATATTGTATGGCACCGACAACGGGAATCCGGGAAGGGCCAGTGGTGTTCCCCCCTTCTTTGCTTGCACGCACTTGCCGATGGGCAGACTCTTGGGCCGCTTGCGCAAAGAAGACACCCATTCAACGCATACCAGCACCTTCAAAGGGGTCACCTGGCTGGAAGCCTCTACACTACCTAGGGATCTCCATTGGACACCCCTTTGAAGGTCCAGGTACATGACATGTCTTGTTTTGTGGTACGAGTTACGAGAAAGAGCGACGGTTCACAATTCTGACGACGATGATGTTATGAGCTATGGTGCTGGTGATGATGATGATGATCATGATTATTTTTACTATTATATCCCGGTAGGAGAGTCCTCTAGAACATGGGGAGCCTGGGTAGCAAAATGCTAGCCCACATTCTCTATAAAATGGAATGTGGTTGAATACAGGTACAAATGAGGATTTGTTGGAGTTTTTTGCAAAAGATGGCTTGAGGCCGAGTGAACCATTTTATAGAGGTGTAAATGATTGTAAATGCCGTTCTTAGAAGGATGGACATTGTCCTCAGGGTCCACATTTTATAGAGGAGGAATCTCTGGCTTTGTTTTTACTTGTTATCACTTGTCACTTGCTTATGTCTTTGCCGCAAAGCCGCATTATCAGCTCGGGCATTGGACACCTTGGTCAATGAACAGGTTCTGTATTGGATGTTCCATCCCTATTGCCCTATTCGGGCTACTCTGAAGGAGCAATCAGACAAGCTGGCAGAAGATTGGTATCGTAGGGCCGAGATGGCTGTGTGCATCCCCAGCTACTTGCGCTTTTGAATCTTGAGTTACTAATAGCAATGGCGTTCCCCTTAATAGCGACGGCCTCCAACCTACTAGCAATCCCAAAGTCTGAGGTTTGCAAGCTAAGAAACTCCCAGGTCAAGAGAAGGGTGACGATGAACCTGCTAAAGAAGCATTGTCACGACGGCAGTCAGCTGTTCAAAAGCCCCGATGAAACACGTCGTTTGAATGGACGCAGCAACATGTACGGTACATAACGCCACAACATGTCACACTCAATTCAAATTCGGAGATGTTCGACTCCACTACCACTGTGCAAGACCGCAGGCGACTGGCTTGCAGGACCAGATTGATGCAATGACAGGGCTCAGAGCTTGGTGTGAAGGTCTTGTCTTGTGGAAACAGTGCCAATGACATGCTTTCTATTCTTTCGCCCAATGACCTAAAGAAGGGCATTTGCGCCGGGTTTTGCGAAATGGAATGGCCCCAGGAATGTCGAAGAGCTCTCTGAGTCAGTGAATGGAGGTGCATCGGTGGACACAAGAACACACCAAGACCTCGAGGATCTGCGCCGGGTCCTCGATGCGCAGCGGGATGCCATGGATTCTGCAACTCCCTTTGGAACGAGGAACGAGGGATGCTTAGTTGGAATTCTTTTGGATTCTTTTGGAATCTTTCCCATTCTTTCCCCAAACATCCCCAAACAGTTTACTGTTGGGGTTCTATCTTGGACAAAAATTGAAATATTTTGGATGATTTTGGACAGCGACGGAAGCCAGGACCGAGAAGTGAGCAGCTGCGCACGCTCCATCACGCGGTCTGCTTTTTGACCGGTCCGTTGACATCCGCTTCCCTTTTCAACCGCATCTGGCGACTTGTGATGTATTGGCAAGATGGGGGAGACCGGCGTTGGATTCCCAATCCTCGCAACAGCAGGCGGACATCCTCCAAGCCCTTGTCTCCCACTTGTCTCCTACTTGTCTCCCAGTAAGCTCTGGCTGCTCTCAGTGCTCTGGCCGCATGATTTCATACTTGTCTCCCATTTGTCCCACTTCTCTCCCAGTAAGCTCTGGATGCTCTGAGTGCTTGGCCGCATGATTTCACACTTGTCTCCGATTTGTCTCCCACTTGTCTCCCACTTGTCTCCGAGTAAGCTCTGGATGCTCTCAGTGCTCTGGCCGCATGATTTTATACTTGTCCCCCATTTGTCTCCCATTTGTATCCCACTTGTCTCCCAGTAAGCTCTCGATGCTCTCAGTGCACCTGCACCAAGCAGAAGCGGGATTTTTCCTCAAGGGAACTTCCCTGGCAACAGTCGCCGGTACAATAGTGCTGGAAAGCTGTGCTTTCCGGATTTCCGTTGTCCCACTTCATGAGGCTTTGATGTACCCTAATCGCACCTTGTTGAAAGAATCGGAATTGGAAATCATTCCAATACATTGGAGCCGATAGATACTGTTGCCAGGAAGCTGAAGATGAAGGAAGTTCTGATACCGCTTTGTACTGGAAATGTGCACATATTTCCTGAACCACCGCAGCTCTGAACTGTGTTCGAAAACTGCCAACTTCAAACAAATGGCTCAGCCTTGTGATGGAGCTCCAAAAATTTGGGAATCCATATATCAAGGACTTGCGACTCAAAGCCAGTTGATGAATAGCGCAAAAAAATCCGATCAATGGGTAGATTTTGCCATCACCTGCAGATTGGCGGTGCTTCACAACCACTGCAGTGCGCAGTTCCTTTAGCACTGCAACATTTGTAGCCAATGCATCACTGCGCAACGCAACACCCTGAATAGGAATGCTCTCGGTCAGACGTTCTGGGAGGAAATGACGGAATCTGCCCGGAACCTCTCCAATAAACGTCACTAGTCTCCCAACAAATTCCCGGCAAAGTGTGCTGCGATCTGACCTGAGCAGGCAAACTAAAGGTGTGTAAGCTGGAAACGCTCTTAGTTCAGGTCTCTCAACCTCTCTTGGAGATCTAGAAGGGTGTTTTTGCGATCCTGGTCGCCGTGGATGGGAACGGCACCCTGTTCTCCGCTCACATGGTGAAGTATGAAGCATGCTCCCCAGTCGCCCGTTCTGCACGACCGAAAAGGACCCGGAATGGAAGATGGAGGCGCGGCGCGGTGCGGCCCGGGTCAGCAGTTGGTTTCCCCACGAAGCAAGAACAGATGTGAATGGTCAACTTATGTTAACCTAATTTATGTTCGGAATAAGTAATGTTGGATCCTGATTAGTAAAGGGGGGGTCCCCCCCCTACCTCAAACAAACAGAGGACCCTCTATAATAAACTACCACCAAAACAAATCTGGATTCCTGTGAGAATTCCTGTGAGAAAGCTGACAGTTTTGAAGAAACCTAGAGAAAACTACATCAGCTAATGAACTCTAATGAATCATAATAATTGGCCTCAGGAGCTAAAGAAAGGAAGATTACATGAACAATTTTTCCAGTGGAAAAACTTTTCACAATTGAGAACCCAAAAACAAATCTATTATTGAGGATCAGGTGCCTTCCTGGTCTACTACCTTGAAATTTTGTTTAGGAGCAATGTTTTATAAAGGGTGTAATTGGGAATTGGTGGTTTTGGTCAGCTGTCAGTTTTGCTTTGCTGCTAGCTGCTTGCCTGGAAAAGGAGGGGGGAGTGCAGGTGGACAGGGTTCAGAAGGAATTCAATCCCTTATTGAGTAGGTTTCCAATATAACAAAGTTAGGCCCCCCAAAAAAGTTAGCATTATTCAGGAACCATTTTTCAAACATGGGGTCTGGAATAATTTTGGAAAAATTTAGCATTATTGCGGAACCATTTACTAATCAGCATCCAACATTATGTCACACAGCCTGCCAGGTCAAGAACACGTTCATCCAGCTCACGCAGAAGTCCGTGGATGCAACTCGGCGCGCAGCGATACCTTTCGAAAGATACTATATGTTTCCACAACAGTACCGTATAGGAACCCATTTTTAGGATCTTTGTTCACGTACTATACAGTAACAACAGTACCCTATACCAGAACCCTCCTGCCGGGGTGCCCATGTACCATATAGCGGCCGGTAGTGAGGGGTAGTTCAGCCAGGACACCCTGACAGGAGGGTCCAGGTGCGTTTGTAATCTACGAGTCTTCTTTTAGCCGCGTTGGCACTGTCCCAAGGAGCGCCGAGCCTCATTGTTGTTAGTGAATGGGAGGGTGGCGAAGGCGCTGGCTTCGCCAGTGGTTTTCAAGACGCCAAGCTGCTGGGCTTCTCTGGCCGCATGATTCCAGGCTTGTCTCCCATTTGTCTCCCACTTGTCTCCCAGTAAGCTCTGGCTGCTCTGAGTGCTTGGCCGCGTGATTTTCACACTTGTCTCCCACTTGTCTCCGAGTAAGCTCTGGATGCTCTGAGTGCTCTGGCCGCATGATTTCACACTTGTCTGCCACTTGTCTCCCAGTAAGCTCTGGATGCTCTGAGTGCTCTGGCCGCATGATTTTGATTTTATACTTGTCTCCCATTTGTCTCCCACTTGTCTCCCAGTAAGCTTTGAGTGCTTGGCCGCATGATTTCACACTTGTCTCCCATTTGTCTCCCACTTGTCTCCAAGTAAGCTCTGGATGCTCTCAGTGCTCTGGCCGCATGATTTTATACTTGTCTCCCATTTGTCTCCAATTTGTCTCCCACTTGTCTCCCAGTTGTCTCCCAGTAAGCTCTCGATGCTCTCAGTGCTCTGGCCAGAGAAGCAGCGGGGCAGCAATCGGAGAAGAGTGGCCAAGATTTGAAATCGCCTGAAAGCATTGAGTGTCATGGCATGCATTGGCATGTGTGTGGGTGGTTGTCGGATATTGCAGGTCTTCTAGCATCGTGATGTCGTAGAAATTCTGATTACCGAGATTGCTATACCCAAGGTCCAGGAACATTGTGGTCGCAGTTGTTGCCCGAAAGTGGAATGGGGTGAACGTGGTTGGCGGTTGGAGCAAAGAGACCAAGGCCATCAACGCGCGAGGTAAGCCTCAAGCAGTCCATTGCAATCCGCATTGTGGAGATGTGTCCGGTGTCGGACAAGAACTCTGACAAGTTTGAAGCCACCGACAAGAGCGTGAGAACACTGTGGACAAAACCACCGTGAAGCTGAGCGCTGACTCTGCTTTGATTGCGTGCGACTTGGACACGATTGCGGATTGGTGGCCACAGATGGAGAAGGATGACCCAAAAGATGCTTGCCAGACTCAGTATCCGGCCCGGACTCGTGGCAGGAAGAAGCGTGCTTCGGCAGACCTTGAGGAGCAGCCGAAAGCAAAGCCCAAGGCCAAGCCGAAGAAAACCAAGAAGCCAAAGTTGAAAAAGCCAAGGCCAAGAAGGACATGAAAGGACTCCCAGCTTTGGATGGCCCGGGTGAGATCTCAGAAGTTTGCCCAGTAGCGGACCTGAAAAAGAGTCAGTCCGGCCGCGCAGTCCTGGTGGCTGTGATGGAGAGCTTGCGCTTGACCAGAAAATTTTTCCTCTACGCCCTGCATTCAACATGGACGGAGTGTGCAGGATGAACGTCGGCAAGTGTGCTGGTTTCATGTGGACCCAGGTTCGGGATGGAGCCTTCCGATTCTTTGAAGCATTGCTCCTCAAATGAGTTCAATATAGTTCAGTCTTGTATAGTCTTGTTATGTCTGGTCCAATTTGTTATTTTCATTACTTTTGATTTCATGTCATTCTATGTTTTTTGATGGCTTTTGGTGGCATGTTTGATTCATGTTGCCGATCAGGTATGCAACCAAGTCAGGGCCTCGTTGGGGTGACGCAGTTCATCGGCGACTGACGCAGATCCTGACCGCTTTCCAGAATCCGGCCGCTTCAAATCACAAGCCCTGGCTGCGATTGATCAAGGAAATTTGCGATATCCTGGGAGAATTTGTAGGTCTTTGTAGTGTTCGTGTGCAGTTGTGAAGAGAGTCCCCGATGTTTTCCGATGCACTTAATGCAATAGGTTCCAAATGCATCCAAATGCTTGGAAGGTAGGGTGGGAGTGATTTCCTCTGACCGGAGCAGGCTGTTGTGTAGCGGTTGTGTGTTACTGTTGAGAATTGTGATGAGCGTTTTTGCGATGAGATGCATCTTGTAGTTTTGTTTTCGGTGTTACATCTGTGATCATCTGTGTGCCCATTGCATCACGAATGCGGGCTCTGCAATGAAAGCGCAGGCGGTAGAGGAATCAGAGGATCTCAAAGACAAGACAACATGGAGTGAAGGAAAAAGGTGCGACCAAATGCGATCACACGAGTTCACAGATTGCGGAGTTTGATGTGTCTTTAGCACCTTGGAGTTCATTCTCTATAAAATGGAGTTCACTATTTGATTTGGTGTTTATGTGACAGCTTGATGTGGAATTTGCAGAATCCACTGTCAGGCTGAGTGAGCCATTCTATAGACTTTGTTGTGATTTTGTTCGCCTGAAAGTGCCCGTCAAACAGCCTCCCAGGTGCATCATTCTATAGAGATTTGATTTCTATGGAGGGACCCTTGTGATGACATTTTGTAGAGGGTGCAGACCCCAGAAACCAATTTATTTATATCTATAAAATGGGGACCCCCAGAGTAGAGAGTGAACTCCAAGAGGGATATTATTATTATTGTTATTACTATTATTGTCATTTTTTGTTACCATTTATTACCAGAAAGGCGCGCTCACAGCGCGCTGTGCAGAGAGAAAGACAGAGAAAGAAACACTTAAAGAGAATCAGCGAGAGAGAGAGAGAGAGACAGAAAGAAAGAAAGAAAGAAAGACAGAAAAGAAAAGAAAAGAAAAGAAAAGAAAAGAAAAGAAAAGAAAAGAAAAGAAAAGAAAAGAAAAGAAAAGAAAAGAAAAGAAAAGAAAAGAAAAGAAAAGAAAAGAAAGAAAGAAAGAAAGAAAGACAGAGAGAGAGAGAGAGCGAGAGAGAGAGAGAGAGAAAGAGAAAGAGAAAGAGAAAGAGAAAGAGAAAGAGAAAGAGGCGCGCGCTCGTGTGCTATGGACGGCTTACTGGGCTCTTGTCCTCCTCTTGTCCTTTGTGCTGGGCTCTGTGGCTGGGCCTTGTCCTCTTTTTGTCCTTGTCTTGGCCGCGCCCCTGAACTCTGTGGCTGGGCTCTGTGGCCCGGCTCTGTGTCCGGGTCTTGTCCTCCTCTTGTCCTTGTCTTGGCCGCGCCCCTGAACTCTGTGGCTGGTCTCTGTGGCCCGGCTTACTGGAGAGGAGTGTGGCCGAACAAATAGCGATGTCAATGCCGAAAAAATTCATTGATGAAGCTGTTTGCTCTTGGTGAAAGTAGGGCATACCAAGAAATCGATTTTTGACTAATATTGGTCTAAACGAATCGTTTTGAAGCTGTTTGGGGTCTATGCTTGTATAATCTATTGCCATTATGATGATGATCGATGATCGATGATGTGATTACATGTACAATAGCCATGAGATGGACATGAGATCGGTTTTGCAAGCCGGAAACGACCAACGGGTGGGACGGAGCAACGGGTGTTCAGATCGGTCCTTTTTGGTGCCCATGGGCAGCCGAGGAGCATGAAGAAGAATTGGGGTTTCGGCAGCAAAGGCGCACAAACGGCGTGGAAACGGCGCAGGCGAATGGGTGCACAAAGGGCAGTTTTGGCAGCCTGTAGACCTTCCTTCCGAGGAACAACAGGATAACCTTTCAGCATCTTAAAACATTTGTTTGGGATTTGGGACACCCAAACTCACGAAAGAAAGAACATGGTGGAGAACGGCTCTTTTCATCTCTTTTCTTCTCCAGGGAAACTATACACATTAAGCTGTGGACTCCAATGCCGGAGTTTTGACAATTGGAAACGCCTACACCGAAGCATGCGGCTCCCCCGGCGGACAAAACACAAAAATAACTGGTAGGGCTTGTAGGGAGTGAGGGAATGCCCCCCTACCCTCGATTAAGTACTTATAGAGTTACTATACCAGGGCCTCCTAAGGGGGGTGGTTAATGGACACCCCTGAACCTCTAAGGCTATGATTGGACACCCCGAAACGGGGGCCCTGGTATAGAGGTATGCTCTATAGGCTCCCACCCAAAAAACCTCGCCAAGACCTTGCTCCCTCCTCCTGGACTCGTCGCCCCGTTGGACACGGCGCACCCCGTTGGATGCGAGCTGGTCGGAGGCATCAGCCTGCGGAGCTTCCCGCTGGACGGCTTCGGCAGCGGCAGCTTCGTGGACTATTTGGCGCTGGTGCCGCTGGGACCGTGGAGCGTGTCGCCGCGACGGGGGGGGGGGATGGAGGACGGCTGTGGAGGACTGGACTGGGAAAAGGGCTCCAAAAGCGAGGTGGACTGGACTGGGAAGGGGTTCAGCTCGTCGATGGGTCCAAGATGGGTAGGTTGGGAAAGGGTCGGACGGGGAACAAGCTGAGAACAGCATTGGGTTGCAAGGGAAGGGGCCTTTGGGGTGGGTGATGTGTTCTTTTTGAGGGATTCAGGATGTGGCCAGGTAGAAGGGAAGAAGCGACACCTCAAGAGGTTTGGTTCGGAGGTGTTCGGAGATGAACCAAGAGACGGTACAAAGACAGTTCAATTGCAAACGACTATTGGCCACAATGCGAACAGAAGCAATTCCTCACGAAATTCCTCAGCAATGTTCGTCTCTTCACAGCTTTTTGCCACCTTGGACGAAGCATTTTCACCAGCAGAAGTGGCTGTTCTACCCAGTCAGTCGCGACCTACCGCCCCGAGGTCCTACATGAAACGGGAGGGTGAGGCGAGATGACACCGGTCGGACGGAGGAAGAGACGGACAGTTGACAGGTGACGGGTCGGTTGACAGTGGATGTGTAGTTCATGTAGGGAGACCTCCCAGTGAGGGCAACGACCTCCCTGTTTGAGACATCTTGACAAAAGCCTCTATGATGGTAGGCTGCAGAAGGGCCTCACTTTGCTGTTCGCGGACGACTCAGAGCAGTTGAGCAGCAGTGAATCTTGGACAGCTGCCGAGTCCCGAACCGATCGCGAAACAACCGAAGGATCCTCACCTTTTTCAGTGTCTTCGTTTCACGGACTCACCCACCCCCCACTCAGCTGGCCGCCTGGGGGGGGGGCGTTCCATGTGTTCGTCCTCAGCGACGGGTTTCACCGGCGCCAGGTCTACCAGTACTCCGTGAAGGCGCCAGCCAGGCAGACTGGGCAGCAACGGGCTGCCCACGTGTGGGGTGGAGCCGAGTTCAGTTCGACGGAAGTCATGGTGACGGTTGATTAATTGTACAACCCCCTGTTTTCAGTTTAATTATTCATCACTGGAATCGCGGAATTGGAATCCACCGCGCAAAAAAGCCCCACAACTGTTGATGAGTGGCCCAGCCACCGGCAGGAATTATCTGCTCTTCCATCAACCCTTGCTGGATTGGATTGTGGAGCAGATCAACGAGCAGAAAGACACGGACAAGTGGGAGGCCACCGAGTTTCAAGAGCGACGCGAGGCTGCGAGCAAAGGCGACCGAAAAGGCTTATGCTTCGAAGCCTTCGACCCTGGCGGCCCCCGAGCCACGACCGGTATTTCTATATAGACATATTATATATTATGGATGTCGATGCAGCATGTTCTGGTGCTCAAAGATGTACCCTGGAAGTCCAGAGGTTCGAAAGAAAAGAACGAGGTTCCATGTCGACATATATGGGGAACCCGATGTCATCCGATTTCAGGAATGTTCTGAAACCGCCCAGGGCGGTGCCGAAGGACATCGAGTTGAGTCTGGACTTTTTACGATCGTTTATGTAGACTCCCCTTTCAAATCAGTGTGATGTAGAGCCTTGTGCTCAGCCATGGGCGGCCCATGACTTCTTCAGCAATTGCGATTAATGTGTCAATGGCCCAAAGATAGAGTCCCCTTTCTTGGGAGGAAGGCTAGACTAGAATCTGCGGGTCCCTCAGTCTGAATCTCTCAGCCACTTCCGTATGCCATCCTCACCAAGTGGCTGGTGCATGATGGTAAGGCGAAACGGCCAGGCACCGAAAGGCGAAACGGCAGACCTGAATACTATACGATGAGATCAGATCGACGCGACCCGACGGTCGGACTGGACGTCGGATGAGACTCATGAGGCAAGATTAGACGCAAGAGAGAACAACTCAAAGTTGATAGAATCAGATAGATGATAGATGTCTCCAGATTCGGCTCCAGATGTCTCAGTCTCCAGAATTGATTCAGCCTGTCTCCAGATTCTGCTCCAGACTGACGTAGCTGCCGTAGGAGGTTTGGCCACAGCTGCACTCAGCGGACTACCCCACCTCCTCCTGGATCGCCCTGGGCGCCGGGGACGCTCGTCGTTTGTCGTGCCGTGCGGCGGATGGAGTTCGGAGACCGGTGCCCGGGATGGTCGAGGCGACGGGCCGTGCGCTGGGAGGGCTGGTGTGTGCTTTTTAGGTCGCAACCCCGGTGGGCTGGTCCAAGACTGGCTGCTGAAGCTGGTTTAGCTTGATGTTGGTTTTCCCTATATGGAGACCCTCAAAAGACGCTTTGGAATTTCTCAGCCTTAGGAAGGAGCATGGCATAGCAGCCAAGGGGATGCCGATTTGTGCAAACACAAGTGGTTTGTACACCGTATCTGTTGGTTTATCGAAGTGTTTACCGACTGCGGATCGAAAGCTGAGGAGTACACCGACTACGGTTCCACCCATTTCTTGAAGCCTTTGGATGAGGCGGTTTCAGCGGTTTCGCGCGGAGTGAAGTAGAGAGAGAGAGAGAGATGTAGGTATAGCTAAAGTGGGACCCAGTTTCTAGCTAGGCTGCGGTGGACATCCTCCTGCAATTTCACTGAAATGCCACTGGAATTGTCCATCCTCCAGATCAACTTGTTTTTCGGACCGATGAGAAGCCCACTGGGCAGATGAGAAGAGTGAGTCGTTTTGCGCTCGGCTCCGTCCGGTCAGACGCGATCGTTGGAGTTGAAAGATGGCCTCCCGCCCTGTCACCGCAACTGAAGAGGCAGAGAAGGTCGGACCCATGGCCTCCGCCTGTTGGGAGTTCATTGGGAGATGATGGTATTCTTCATTTGTTCTCATGTCTTCTTGGTATTCTGGACGTCCGACCGACTCTCGAACTTGGACGAGTCCTCGCTCCTGTCGTACATGTTTTGAGCACAGCAAAGGGAACAACCATCTCTTCCACACAAAAAGGCCATGGTATTACATGCATGGAATCTTTCTTCGGCGAATCGGGAAGTGCTCCACCCACCCACTTCCGTGCTCTGCCTGCTGACTCTTCCGCCGCAGATTGTGGTGGTGGTCTATGACGAGCGGTTGATGCCAGATGGTCCAGACATGAAAGCGGTGCTGAACATGTTCGAGGCCGCTTGGAGAGATGTTCAATCCATTTTACACCGGACGTTGGACAGGTGTTGGACGTGCCCAGCTTGCCCAGCGACTGTTTTGTTTTCTATTTTTTTTTCAACTGGCTGCCACAAGAAATGAGGGACCTCATACCTAGGGTGTCCCATCCAGACCCTGTAAGTGGTGTAGGCTTGTCCATGGGTGACACCGAGCCTTCTAAGTTGTTTGACCAAAAGGAGGCGTTTTACAGAACAACTTACACAACCCCATCTATGGATCCATGGTTCTGTTAAATGGTTCTGTTCTACCCCCATCCAAAAATGTTGTTAACAGAAAGAAACCCTTTAACAGAACAACGGTCACCCTGGTCTCCATGGTCTGCGGGTGGAATGCTTTCGGACCAGTCCCGTCCGGGTTTTGCTCCGGTCCAGCGAGCGGTCCACCGGAACTGCATGAAGCGGTGGTGATTGACGGTTTCGACCAGTGGTGTTTTCTTGGTGATTCAGAAAACGCCGGTCGAAACCCATGTTACGATGTTTGAAACTGGTGAAACATGGATCTTCCTGGGCTTGATGAAGAAATCTTCACCCCGCCCGTGTCGTGTCCGCCCGTGTCAAGGATGCTCCTGCGCTGGGGCCGTCAGCTTTTTCGGGAAAGACGCTGGTGGTCGGGTGCTTGCGGTTTGGGTGCTTGAGAGGATGGGGGAGGTGGTCTGGTTGGTCAGAGTTTGGCATGGAGTCTTTGTATGTCTTTGTGGCAGTCCAACCACCGCCTGTCTGGAGGGGCCATGTGTCATGGAGTATCCCCCGACCCAATCCACGGAGTATCTGACTCCGTCACGTTTGTGGTTTTGATGGTTTTTGCTTCTTTTGCATCGAACGCGGCCAAAAACAGAGGTGTGAGTCCTTGTTGGCCGTTTGGGGCGCCCCAAAAGTGGGGCTGCGGCAACTGCACCCCACCCACAACTCTGTTGGGCGTGGTAGCTCCGGTTTTGCTATCAAATTGTTGAGTGTCTACCATTGGCCAGACCCCTCCATGGGACTGGTAGATGTGCAGATCAGGCCGTGGAAGAGGGGTCTGTCGACGAGTGGGGCGGCATGTTGAACAGTGGCAGTCCCGGACAGGTTTGGCGTCTGGGTTTTGTGTGAATGTTGTTCATGGGACTGGAACTGGGCTTGGGCCATGGTGAAGTACTGGCCTTTGTTTTGAGGGTTTAGAGTCTAGAGGGAACCTCCCCCCGAAACAAAGGTGTGAAGCCAGGGTCCAATTTTGGACCAGAACTCACAAACAGGAAGAATCGATTCAAGACATGTGTTTTTAATGAATCAAGATGCCATTGCCAAGTATGTAGCAGATTGGGCATTCCCAAAATGCCTCACACGCTCTGTTGTTTCACACAACCTCCTGCCAGACGGTTTTTTTGTGGATACCCTTTCCCCGCCGGGCATTTTTGTTGAAAGAAACACGGAGAGCTACTCGCTCAGTACGAAAGGATGCTAAGAACCGTCAGGATCCGTCAGGTGTCTTCACCACCCGAAACTTGGGGAAGGTGAAGACAAGGCGAAACAGCCAATCACCACCCGAAGAACCATCTGGACCATCAGGTGTCTTCCAAGTCCCAGCATCCTCTGACTGGTGCTTAGTAGGGAATAAGGGAATGAGCCCCCAATAGAGATTCTATTCCATCCATTCCCTCATTCCCTGCTAAGCACCAGTCAGTCCTTCGTGTTTCTTTCGTTCACCACTCAATCACCACCCGAAGGTCCAGGTGATGGGATGGAAGGTCCGTGGGTGACCAGGTCGCTGTGTCTAAGGCGGGAGACCCTCCCAGGTGTGGCGTTCCGACGAAGCTCCCAGGGGGGGAAGACCCTCCCAGGCAATTGGCCCGGAGGGTCCAACCCTATGGATCTGTAGTGATCTGTCCTGCCGGAGAGGGTTTTTGGTGGAGGGAAGATGCCCCCCCCGACGGGCACGGGACGCTGCCGTCCGACGCTCTCGGGCTCGACCCGAGGCCCGAGGGGGCGGTGATGTTGCATCAGACCTTCGTCTGACGGCGACGCCGGCCCGCTGGGGCGGGGGCGGTGGGGGGCGGTGGACGTGGCGGTTCTCGACGGGTGGAGCTGTTCACGTGGCGGTGAACACCCGGTCGTGTCCCAGGAACGTCGCAGCACGCACCACACTCGCGCCCCTCCGCGCCCATCCACGTCTCCAGGAGCTCCACCGGGCTCCGAACGCGGGGCCGGCCCGGCCAGCCAGCTGGCCCGGGAGACACTAGGACTTAGCTTCAGCGAGCTGACCAGTTGGGTAGTTCGAAGGACGATCGGAGTCCATTTGCCACAGACCAAAGAGTTCGTGGCGTTTCGGGGCCAACGGGCTCCATCGGGCCACGGTTTCGGGTCCTTTTCCCCACCTCTGAAGGACAGGCTTCCGAAGCACATGGCGCCCCCTCTCTTGCGGGCGCGCGTGCGCATCTCAGGGGCTATCCAGGTGAAGCAAGCGGCTTCGACGGTGCCTAGAGAGCCGGGAACAGAGCGGTTTCTTTTGCACTCCAACACAGGTTGAGTGACCCTATAGACTATCCCATAGGTACCCCAGTAGGGTCCTATAAGGTCACTTAACCTCTCTTGGCAAGCTTGGAAGCTCATTCAGGGTAGGGTACACCCCCGTGGTGCCCGCAGCCGCGACGCGAAGCAGCTGGCAGTGGATGCGCAAGGCATCTCGGGATGCGATGCTGCTTGGTGGTGCCAGAAGGAGTTTTGGAGGTCATCGTGTGGGTGCTGCATGAGTCAGTTCAGTTCATCTAGGCATCCATGTGATATCCGATACCCAGACGTGTGGCGGGAGGCACTGAGCTGACTGGCACGGCCATGACATGGGCCCTTGGCCCAGCGCTAGCACCGGGACACCCAAATATTCGGCATCTACGTGTTCGCCAAAGGCACCACAAGTAGTTGATCTATCTAGATCTTGCATTTCAATCCACAGGCTGGACACATTTCAAGATACAAAGTAGCCGTAGGAGTAGTAGAGTAGTAGTGGTGGTGGTAGTGGTAGTAGTAGCAGCAGCAGCAGCAGGAGTAGTAGTAGTAGTAGTAGGAGTAGGAGTAGGAGTAGCAATAGTAGTAGTAGTAGTAGTCGTAGTGGTAGTAGTAGTAGTAGTAGTAGTTGTAGTTGTAGTTGTAGTTGTAGTAGTTGTTGTTGTTCTTGTTCTTGTTGTAACAGTACGTCATGAAAGAGCAAAAAGGTCAAGATAGAATGTAACAATCAGTAGATCATTCATCCACTGCTTCAACTGGAGACCCTTCCGCTCAGACCCGACGCCGACGCCGCCTGCGCCCCGCCTTCGCGTGCGAGACCCACTTCTTTTGGATCGACATACCGAAAAGAAGGGCGATGGCCTACGGCCAATGAGCGCACGGGTCGGGGTCAAACCCGAAAAAGAACACGGGGACGCGGGTGTGATTTCTGCGAAGAGAGGGTGTTGGTTCTTCCGGAAGCCTCTCCGACCTGAGTTCCGTTGTGTTCGATGGGGCGATCGTGGGTGGTTTTTTTCCGCGGATGGGTCCTTCTTGGCGGTTCACAAAAGCCAGTCTTTAGATGAAAAGAGGATGAGGTTGGGGTAGGAATGAGGTCTTTCATGTGTATGCTTTCTGGATGACAAGAAAGTCAGATCTCAACATCACTTCTGGGTCCATGTCACCCAGCATTCAGCATGCATTGTGACCTGTGCCAGGGCTACTTCTGCCAGAAGCACCACCTCGCCGCCTCGCCCAGATCGGCCCAGATCGCATGGGGGTCAGGACCGAAGACATGGAGGGATATGGAGGGCAAAGACTCGGCTTCCCAGCCTTTTCCCCTTTGCCTCAGCGCTGATCCCCTCGCAGCTTCGCTGCGCAAAGACTCGAGTGCTGTTCCCAGGTCTTGGGGGGTTCCCCAGGTGCTGTAAAACGGTTATGGCGGATACACAATTTGCGGATCCTTGTGGAGCATTGGTGGGCCAATTCCTGAAGCATTTTGGTTTGGTCTTAGCAAAAGAAGTGGTCTTAGTCTTAGTCTTAATGATCTGAAGTTGCAATACAATACACATCTGTGCAACCCCACAGGTGGCTTTGGATCCTTGTCTTGAGGCCGGGTTCCGCAGACCTGGTTTATGTACATGGCAAGCCCCATGGGTTCGTTAGCAACCGGCAACCGGTGATGATTCTGAACAGCGAATGCGCATTGAGGAGGTTCACGCTCCATGGAAAATGAAGGTTTCAATTCAGACAGAAAGGTGATGGGCTCCACCATCTCAGCCAACTCGTGCTCAAACTCTAGCTCGCGTTGGTATAATAGTTGTTGTCGTGTTGGGATTCGACAGAACAGTTAGTTTACTAAGCTCAATAGCCTAGGGCCTATAGGTCTTTGTGCTTTGAGACACCTCACCACACACGTCCTCTGGGAACAATCAATCTGAAGACACAGCTGCGCCCGCACCTGGCAACATGGCTTGCACAGTGGAGGGCTACTCTGTCAAGTTCATCGATACCGTCGCAAGTTAGAAAGGAGGACAAGTAGATGACTCACGTGACTCACGAGTTTTGCTGGGCAGATTTGGTCCCCTGTTTTCATGATGCCTGCAAAGACTACAAGCGAGACCGAGTAGGCCCTCACGTGGTACCAGTGGAAATTACCCTCGGTCGCGCCCTGGCGTTGGATGGCCCCATTGGCCAGGTCTATGGAGGCGAAGCTCACCACTTTCAGCTGAAGCATCCCAACTACGCCTTCACCGGTGCTCGCCATCAACTTCGACGGGTACACCTCGCACTCTATAAGAAGTACAAGTTCCTTGATTATGACAAGGATCTGACCATTTTCTCTTCAAATTTGTTGGCCATGACGGAGTCAGAGATGAAGACCTATGCATTGCTGATCCGCATATTGGAGAAATTCTATTGGAAGCGCTTGCTGCGGCCCGAGATTGACGACGAAACTCATGGGAAGCAACGCAGTCAGGAGCAGGCCTGTCAGGTGCTGAGGAGCTACCGACATTTTTGCCCAGTCACCTTTGCTGCCCTGAGACAACGAGGCTTTGAGGAAAGTCTCTTGAAGATCGTAGATCAGTGGTTGCGGAGTTTCTTCTGCTTTGGTTGGGATCCCGATTGGAAGCACATGGGCAACTTTCAGAGACTCATTCAGATGCTCTTCAAGGTGAAAGTGGACGAGAGCGACCCTTTTCGAGATCTGCGGCGGATTTGCGTGTGCTTGCTGCTGCAAAACTCGGACAAGCTCTTGGAGGCCTGCCAACAGTCACGGGCCAGCACCGGAGACTTGGAGGCGATCGCCAAGCGAGTAGTGCTGGGCGGCAGCTTTTTCCAGGTGCTGAAGGAGATGAACTGCTGCGACATGGAGTTGAGCACTGAAGACTTGGTGGCCTTCCTGCCCCTGGGGGTCATCGGTGGCTGGTGCAGCATGCTTGAGCTTGACAGCGTACTGCCAGGCTCGGGCCTCGTGATCCCCGCGGCCTGCGCCTGTATGGGCCTGGTAGCTGTGTGTGCGGAGGCCTTGAGCGCGCTTCTGTGCAGGTTCTGTGAGCCTTCCAACGATGTCATCATGAAAGAAGCCGAAGCAGAGGAGGACGAGGATGAGGCTGATGAGAGCTGGGAGGTGGATCTGGATGATCTAGTCACCTTTGAGTTCCTGTTGGGCACCGGGCAGTGGCAGACCAGTTTGAGGCTCACCTATGACGCGGTGATCTCCATGGAGCTGAACCCTCCCCCCTTGCCCGCCGGCCAGGTGATCCAGCAAGCCTACTCTTACAAGTACCGAGGCCACCGACCCTTCCAGCAACATGGGGAAGTTGGTCAAACGCCTTGGGTAGGTTGGAATGACAAGTGGCGTTCTGCGTGGAAGACGCAGAACTATTGAGAACTTCGCAGAGGAGGCGAACTTGGCGCGCCAATTTCGCCTGGACCTCCTGGCGAAATTGGGGATTTGATGATGCACGTTGCACGTGTTCAACACATCATTGAACCTCCCATGGCAGCGCTGAGGGCACGGGCAGCGCGAACCCGGACTCATTTGGGCCTTAGAGGACCTAGAAACCCATCTGACAGTTGCGGGAAACTCGCAGGCACTTGTGGGTCGGTGGAAAAGAGCTGCGGGTCGACCAGACACTTCTCAAAAGCAATCAGTGTGCCTTGAGTCTAATGTAGACGCTTGATTCATAAGCCCCTCACATCTAAGAGGATGTTCCAATTCAATGGGGGGGTGTAGAAACATCAAGAGTCTACATGAATTTCTTTGGCAGTGAAGGGTCCAATCACTGAATGGGTGCTGTGAGTTGGGCCTGGCAGTCTGGCAGTTGGCGTTCAGTGAAAAACAGCAAAGGCAAACCGCAAACCGCTGTTAGAGCTTAGACAAAGGGTTTGCCTGGTCTTGGCTTGTCTTGGCAGCTAGGAGGCCATCGCTAGTAGGTAGAAAGGCCATTACTCATGATATAGTAGCAAGAAGCTACTAGGTAGGAGGCCAAAGACTGTAGGAGCTTCGGAGCTATCCCAGTTATATATTGCTAAGATAGACAAGACAACCAGCAGTCACAAAGGGGTGCTTAATGGAGGTTAGGTGTGCCCATTATCCACTCACTTGGGGACCAAACACCACCCCTTTGTGACTCCTGGAAGACACTCATTAGTAGGGTAGGAGGCCCAATTGTGTCTCAGTCCCAAACGACGAGTCGACGGTCCGTTTACGGACGGACCGCTCCACGAAAAGAGGGCCAACCATCCTTAAGCCATAGTGGTCTGTTTTGTTTTGGTCTGTGCCATGATGGGCCTTTTACTAACTACAGATATTAAGTAATGACTTCGTATAGTCTGTAGTATAGTTCCATGGCCGGGTGTGGTCGTTCCAGAGGGGACCGACCGTCCCATCGTCCGTTTCTTCCCGTCGCACCGAGCTCAGGAGGCGCCAGGCCAAGGCGGACCAAGGGGAAGTCGTCCGTCGTTGTCGGAGTCGTCCGTCGTGGACTTCACTTTCTACGAAGTGGTGACGAAGACTCCGGGTTAGTCAT